CGCAGAGAGTTCGACAGAAGGCATGCGCAGTCAAAGACCGCTAAACACCACTGAGCCGAACTGGCGACTGCTACTACTACTATTTACTTATTATCTGTGGGAGAGTCCATTACAATAGAATAGGCAATATGGCATAACAGAAATGACATTCTACTTCCACGGAGTCAAGTCATCCTTATTTCCCCTGTGTTTCAAATATAAGACAGAAATTTTATATTAAACATCGCCTAGCCCGCCCCCAAATACCACTTTCTGGAACAGATTCCGCGTGAGTGCTTCCCTGAACATACCAATCTTGAACTCTTCAAGTCAAGGGTTAATCGTTATATTTCTCCTTATGTGACCCTTCTTCTCTGCTTTTGACCACCTCTCCCATTCATATCACACATCTTATTCATAATGATTATTTCGACTGTAACTCTCTACCTGCGTAGCACTCGAGTCTTGTATTTGGTGAAATTAGTAACAATAGTAACAAAATAAAAAACTTTCTCCAATCATTTTTCTCTTCCATTTTGCTTTGTAGTCCACTAATTTAAGCTTAGTTAACATCGTCTGCCATGATTGCAAATTGTTTGCAACCTAAGCAGATTCATCCCCACTAATAAAGATGTTATCTTTTTGTTTTAATTGTATTCATAAGTATTAAACGATGACCTTTGTTCTTTTCAACTTCCTGTCCTTTGTCGCTTTTAGTAAGATTTGTCTTTTTATTACGTCATCTAATTCCCGTTCTGCCTCAAACCCCTCATTTACACAAGCTCCTTAGGTGTGTTATACGCTGCTTTCCTCTGTCTTCAATATGTCCTGTGAGCATCAAATTCTCCAAGCCCTCTATGTGCCATTGAAATGTCAACTTTCTTTTTCTGATATTAAGTATATGGGTCGTTTTTGTTTCCATTTTCCATAAAACTTTCTCATTATTGACAGGTTCAGTCCTTGGGATTTTCATTAGAATCACATTTCTGTTGCCTCAAGCCTCTTCTTCATCTATGATAAGATTGTCCAGCATTTACAGCCATTTTTTTAAGCATTTCACCCCAAGCAAGACGGGAGTGTCGCAAGAACGCAAGTGGTTACAAAGAGTGAAAGTAAGAGTAAACATGTGTGTTTGAAGATAGGATAAAGAAAAGGATGAGGATCAAGACATCAGAAGATGTCGATTGACATTACATTTGAATATTTGAAGATTATAGATATCAGGGAAGCAAGTAGGGGGAAGGGTGTCCCACTGGTGAGAAGTGCGAGAGAAGAAGCTGTTGGAATAGAAGAGGCGGTTAGATTTTTTTCGACAGTGAAAGGGTGGGACCGAAATGCCAACCTAGTAGCACGCTTAAATTCATGAAGTCGGGGGACCAGTGAAAATAGCTGGTCAGAACAGCTGACATGAAAATATTTGTAGAAAAGAAAGAGGGAAGCCGCATCATGTCTGTGATAAAGTGACTGGAGTGGAGATGCCAGGTCAGGATCTATCAAATTGCATATCCGTCTTTGGATTTTGTCGAGAACCTCGAGATGAACAGCGAGCAGGAGGATCGATATTACACCACAGTTTAGTACTTGTTTCTTTTTTTCTAAACGAAACTTTCATATTTCTTAATACTTTGCTTAGCTTTTGGAAGACATCGTTCTCTATTCAAGTGCGCCATCGGATTTCGATGTGATATTTTCTTTTCTCTGTTAAAACGCTTCTTTGATATTGAAAATTTTGTACAAGCTTGATTTTGATGCCTCCAATTTATAGTTTTCAACTTGGGCTATTCCTTTCGCTGTCAACCATATATTCTGTCTTCTTACAATCGAAGGTTAGTCCATTCTTCTCGCTTTCTTTTACTGCCTTCTGTGGGGTGGGAGGGTTCTTGTAGTTACCTTACTGATTCTGCTTTCAACCCTGTGTTTTCTTTATATCTTCAATTGTGGCCACCAATAATAAATCCTAGGATGACCTCTAATTCTCTCAGGATAGTCTCACTGTACTTATTCAATTTTCCTGGTCCTAGGGATGTGCAGGTGGTACAATGACTAGCGACTTGGAATGAGAAATCTGAGAGCCTCGTTCGAATTCAATTCGTTACATTCACTTATGGGGAAATATCATTTGTGAAAGTTAATAATCTATCTCTTCCCCAAGCTGATTTTCACCAGGAAAAATCCTTATAATTTAAAAAAAAATTGTTAATGCAATATTCATGCGTAAAAAAAACAAAACAAAAAAAAACAAAAAAAAAAAACAAAACAAACAAACTATTCTTACAATACAAAATATGGTAAAAGGAGATATAACTTTTTATATATGAGAACACTTTTAGGAAAATCTATGGCAACATTGTAAAAATATTTCTCTTGACACATTTCGACCTTTAGGACTTCATCAGATTAAATTTATGTTTACGCTGATGTGACTACAGGAGAAGGATGGCTGAAATTTAAACTCAAACTTTTATGGTTACATCTAGACAGCTATACTGTTAATTGATGAGATCTCGACGCCAGTCTAGTACTGAACTTAAATTCATAAAGTTTAGATATCATAGCGAAGAGCCGGTATTTACCCGGCCTCTCCACGAGGCCGTTTTTTTTTATGTGGGGCAATTCCCAGCCCATGTACTTGGGCAAAAATCACTGTAGACCCCGCATACACGGGGTCGGGTTTGTCTACTACCGCAAACAAAACTCTGCCCTCTGGCATAGCCTCCTCTGGGTTCCTCACCGCCCGGAGGTAGAGAGTCAACAAGAAGATCTCTTCCGGTACCCTAGCGAAGGTCTCATCTAAACAATTACCATGAAAGTATTTATAGAAAAGATACAGAGAGGCAATATTACGGCGGTGGGAAAGTGACTGGAACTGAGCTGCCCGATCAGTACCAATAATATTGCTGATTTTTCCTTGGATCTTATCAAGGAGCTCAAGGTAAATAGTAGTGGCACTGGAGCATATGTGGCTGCAATATTCTAAGCATGGACGAATGCTAGACTAATATATATATATATATATATATATATATATATATATATATATATATATATAGCGTAATAGAAACATTAAAATAAAGTAAGTTCATATTATTGTGTGCGTGTTTTTAATCTATGGTTTTATTCCGCAACATTTAAATGTATACCCTTTAATAATGTTACTAAGTGTGCTGTGAGATTTTAATTTGCTATCAGCTGTGGCGTTGCTTAAAAAGATTAATAAATACTAGTCTAGACTATATACCAAAATACATATATAAAAAATTAACATCCTACTGTAATTCTGAGATGATGTATTGTAACTATTTGCTCTCTTTATATTCTTTGTACTGTTGTCCTCATCTTTATTGCCATATTCACTATGTTTCGACTGTTGTATGTTCTGGCCTTCTTCAGGTGATATTTTTGGAATTTCGAACTGAACCCTTTATTTAATCCCCTCGGCGGGGTGGGGGGGGTTAAATTGTTCTAATTCCACGTGCCATACCTTTGGATATCTTAATTTTTTTCCAAATTTTGCTATATCCTCTGAGGCCAGGGATTGAACTCACAGCTATTTGGGTAAAGGCATTTTTTTGGATCAATCAATCAACGCTTTTAATTCACTGGGCAATATTTCATTGGGGACAGATTAGATTCATGTGCAGTCACATCAACATAAAGATCACTTTAGTCCAATGATGTCCTAAAGGGCGAAACGCATAACGGAAAAAAAAACATTTAGTCCACTTTGATATAGATTTTCCTAAAATACAAAATATTTTGGCTTTAAATAACCTTCAAAAAGCCGTAAACTGCCCCAGGAATATTAATCCGATCTGGACTCTGCCGTCGTTTTAGACGTATGAGGATCAGGCCACTCAGATCCTAGAAACCGGCAGCCCAGACACCTGGACATATGATTTAATTATAGTGGTGAAGACTTTGTGCAGATCCAACCACACTTTTTGAAGAGCCGAATACATTAATCCGACCTTGTGTCACATCCCATTCTCGTGGGGGGAATGAGTAAATACCGCGCCGAATACAGAGACCTGGTGCACCACGTGCTACAAGGACTTGCCACAAGGTCACCAAACGACCTTCAGCAGGTTTTTAATTCAGAGTTGTCCTTCTCCTAGACCAGTTACCATCCAAGGCTATAGAACCCAGTCTGTCCTGCTATTTACTCATAGAAAGAGAAGGAAGAGAAGAAGACTCATACCTTTCCTAAGGGTATTAGCACGTAAGTGACTCTAATGGATTCGACTGGGATTCGAACTCGGCTATCTGATTCCTCAAACCGAGCTCCACATTAATTAATTCCATAGCGCAGAAATTATAGTCGAATGAGGGATGCATGTTGTGTCAGTCAAGTAGGAAGGAAAAATGGAGTCTTGACTTGTATGATCCAGGTTCAAATAAAGCCACGATTTTTTTCTGTGAGAATTTTTCAATGTAATAAAGAGTGGAAATTTGAGGCGTGTTTAACAAATCCGACCCGTGATATCATAAAAAATAAAATTTGTTAATCTGTTTAGATTTTTTTTAACTCTTTCTCCTCAAAATTTATTGTTACTTATTATTATTTATTGTATTTAAAATACAATTGCGGCACAAGGCCAAACTGGGAAGGGGTTGTGGCTGGTCATCACTATCTTATACCTAGCTAATTTGATTCACGACCCATTCACACATTACAATTTCCACATTCACCATAAGAACTCTCCCGTCATCATTCAATCCTCCATACACCATAATACCACATCCTCGAAAGGGGAAACCTACTAAACGCGCCCCATGCCATAAAAATCAAATGATTATAAAATATATACTTAAAGATTTATGGAAGAATACAATGAGAGGGGAGGGAATAAACCCCAAAACAAACTAAATATAAGCACAAAGTAAACTAAACATGACTGATGTTAGTAAGGCTCGCCCAACCCTCAAAAAAAGAGAGGCCGCTGTATTGTTACTTATTAATTTGTAAATGTATTACTTATATTTTGCTTTTCTTTTTCTCTTTTTTTTTTTGTCATCATCAGAATACCAACAGTGACTTGAATTTCCAGGTCGAATTGACTGATCCAACTGGAGGCTCAGAAATTGGACGAACTAACAAGACAATTATCACGTTAGTTAGTGATGAAGGTAATAAGTTAATTTTTACTGTCTTGCATTTATTAACGATATCTGGGCGCTCAATTGTGTATTGTGACGGGTTTTAACCTACCAAATGAGATTATGTAAATAGTTATCAGAACAGAGATTAGTGTGATGATGTGCTTCTGCACGTCACTGTACAAGCTGTGATGATATGCAATGTCGGCTGCATGCGAATACACCGGGCGTTCGCTATATTCCACAGGTTTGTTTCAATATTAGGGCCGTGATCGACGTCAACAAAGAAAAATTATAAAAAAGTACGATTTCTCACTTAATCGGCAATGTCTTCCTTCTGCTTCGAGAAAACAAACTTCTGGTATCTCCCTAAATTCCGGCCACAGAAAAAGGACCCCTTCACACCCATTGCTTGACCGTCTCACTGAATACTGTCGGTCCTTTCACCGAGCACTCATTATATAGATTATAGAGACCCACCACCTCTTTTCGTCCACTTGTGTTCCACCAAACTAAAAGAGGAACCACCCAGACAGCTTTTTGATGGTTAGCTTTTTTTTTCCCAAAGGACTCCTACAGCTACCTAACAAAATTTTATGTTTGCCAACTCAAAGGCGGGCTGAAGACAGGATTCTTGAAAAATCCTGGTCATTAAATTTACTCAAAGATGGGCTGGAGACAAGATTTCTGAGAAACCCTGGTCATTAAATTGACTTAAAAGGAAAAAAATCTGTCTCCTCGTTGTAGAATATTGGTTAGCTTGCCAGTGGTCTAACACACAAGTAGGCAAGTGTAGCTAAAGCTAAGACTGACTTGAGTCATTTCACGGAGAAATATATGGGTGAATAAAGACCACTCATGCAAATGCATTGGGCAGGTCCATTCTAGCAAAATGGACCAACCTAACTGGTGTATTAGGCACTCTCCTATAAAATGAGGTAAAATCAGCTGGCTTGCTTTACAAGGAAACAGAAGAAGGCAGCCATGTTGGCAGGTAAGTCACTTGGCTTCTACACTCATCTTCTAAAGATGTATGAGAAATCGTATTGCTACATTAGGAAATATAGCAAAAATACAAACTTTACTAAGAGCTACAACGGAGAGGAAATTGTGGAAAGCCATGATCGCCCACGTCCTGAAGGGACACGGCAAATAGAGAGAAGGAGAAAAATAATTTTTGATTTGTTTTCTACAGGTTATCAACCCTTTGCAGGTTATTTAAAGCCAGAAAATATTTTTAGATTTTTTTAGAATTTTTTTTAGATAATGTTTAGTGATACATGTCTTACTAATTAACTCTGAGCTTGGAGAGAAGAGGTGGATTCATCCCTTTCGCAAGGATATTTGCGCGTAAGTGAATATAACGAACCCAACTTAAATTGGAACTCGGCTCTCTGATTAACATTTCCTAGCCATTATCCAGTACACCACCCGCACATCCAAGCTTACAGCACCTGATATTCCGAATCAGTCTCCGATCTAAGTACTGACCAAGCCCGACGTTGCTTGGCAATTACGAGTTTTAAAATATCCGAGAAAAGACATCAGTTGTAATAAGTAAGGGAATAAAAACAATAACTCTGCCCCATATTCCTGGAAATATTTGGAATGTAATAAATACTTAAAGAACGTGGGAGTAGAGCGGCAATCCTTATGATAAAATCAACAAGGGGAAACTGGTCCGAAAGAATTGTTGTGAGGTTGTACTGATGATACGTCGCCCTTGTCTACTTCTTATATATATATATATATATATATATATGTGTGTGTGTGTGTAATTTTTTTTGGTAGTTAAAAAGACATCATCAGCCCCACAACGGAAATATATAAATTACAAACAAATCATATACAAGATACAACACAATAATCATAAACAAAAACGATAAAAGATTTTCGTATACATTTAAAAAAAAAATGTGTATTAAAAAAACATCTACATATACAGAGATAAAATGTTTTTGTTTATCTGGTGGGATCCACATGGTACGTTAGAGCGCTGCATCGTCTGGCCGTCGAAGATGAAGAGAGAGAAAATTTGATTTTTGTTTCAATTGGCGTCAAAAATACATGTTCCGGTGCATGATGGGAGTTTACATATTTATTTAACTATTTTTTTTTTATAATCTACTTTCTTCTTTATTTATTGTTAATTATCATTCTTATCTACATTTTAAATTAATTTATGACTTAACTTTTAGTTTTTCTTTTATTTCAATTATTTATTATTTTGGTTTCATAATCCTACATAGCATAGTAGCATGGCTTAGATCGTATTCAGTGATTTCAGTGTGGCTATCACTACAGAATCATTTAAAAATCAGATAAATCTTTACAAAAAGCTTTGAATTTAATAGCAATTCAATTACAATGAGAACAAAGCCCGACGTTGCTTGGCAATTACGAGTTTTAAAATATCCGAGAAAAGACATCAGTTGTAATAAGTAAGGGAATAAAAACAATAACTCTGCCCCATATGAGAACAAACAAAAGACCAGAAAAAACACCTGCATGTCGTTATTATTAAGAGAGATTAGCACGCCCAAAAGTCACCCTGGGGTACAAATATCCGAAGCCCACTCTACCTATAATGATACCCAGTCTGATAAAGGCACGAGCATCACAGCGAAAATATACCCGGTATAGGAACTGGTTTCGATAAAAGCAGCGCATAATCTTGTAGTTGGGAGTCGAGTTAAAAATACCTTCAGGCAATATAACTCAGTCCGCGCAGACGGTCTCCGATTGAACGTCTTCTCATGTATCTAGATGTGGCTCCTAAGTCGCGTTGGCTGCCTCATCCTTTGAATTGAAAAAATCCTCTCGACACCCCACTACTCCCAGTACGTCATCCACTATGTCTAACTACTTAGCGTCCGGCAACTGTCAAGGAAATACGTGGTACTAAATGGGATATTTAAGTTAATAAATGTTAACACCTTCAATCAATTAAGACCAGAAACAACGAAAACCATGCCAGATGTTGTTTCAAGGCATTAATAATAATAATAATAATAATAATATGCAATGTTATTGTTCTTGACCTGGCATCTCGGCTTCAGTCGCTTTCCCACAGCAGTAACATAGCTTACCTTTGCCTTTTCTACAAATATTTCTATGGCAATTATTCTGATGAAATTTCCCCAATGGTGCCCAAACTTTATGAATTCAAGCGCAGTACTAGAGTGGCGGCAGGGTCTCATCATTTTACTTTTGAAATGGCTAGATATAACCATAATTTCTGTAGTAACAGTTTCTTTTGTCACACTTCTCGCTTGTGGAACTCTCTTCCGGCCTCTTGCTTTCCAGTCAAGTTTGCTCTTCAAATATTTAAATACAATGTCAATCGTAATCTTGTCTTTTTAATTCCACTTCTTTTATTCTTCTCTAAATAATTTTTTAATCATATTTTCTCGTACTCAGTAACCCCTTTTTTCTTAGTGGCTATGTTGCCTTGCTTGGGGGAAATGATTTTAAAATAATAATAATTTCTAACTATTTTTATCTAGCATTTTTAATCTTAATTTCTACTGCTTTTTATCGAAAATCTCAGCTCATCATTCTAGACGTGTTTGTTACATTCGTTTGCAATATTATTGACAGATCACAACAGTTATTATTAAAGAGATGTGATTAAATATAATTTTATGTTTAAAAAACTTTATTCAATGTTATTATTGTTTAGGTAATAAACACAAATAGCTATATTGTGGAAAAAGGAATTTTCGACAATATATGTATTTTTTACATATTTATTTGTTAACTTTTATCAAAAACGACATTCTTGTACATTTAGTTATGGATAATATTATACATTAATTACTTATTTTTTTAATTAATAACTATTTGTCCTCAGTTGTTGACGTTAGCTATCTGCCGATGTGTTAAAACTTTGGAATAATGCAATAATAAAAAATTAAATTTCATCTCTCTGCTAGATGTCATGATCTAAAATATCTTAGATGAAACATCTACAATTATTATTTATGTTTAGTTCAGTTTTCATAGATCTTAATTTCAGTGGCATTTGATTACGACGCCCATATCGCTTATTCTAAGATCGTTCGTCATATTGTAATATTATTTGATTTTCTTACACAAGTTATTTTCAGTTATTATGAATGTTTAACTGGTATTTCATTCACCTTAATTTTAATTGTATTTTATTGCAACCCTCATATCGTCACGCTGATATTTAATTTGCTATCCATGTTTTTAAAATTTTTCTGTATGCTAATTATCTCATTTTTTGAATGCCTTATTCATTTTTTTCTTATCGACAGAATTTAATAGCATGGTCAGTCGAATTGCCAACTTAACCAAACAAAATTTAGACTCGCTAAAACTGGAGAGCGCCACCTGGGGCGGACAATTCAAACAAGCCATGAATGTTAATGGCGGCGACATAGAAAATGCCACCAACTTGGATTACGTCATGCATTTTCTGACCTTCTTCTGGAAGGTGAGTTTTATTACGTCACGTTGTTCCGTTGCCATTGGAGGAGGCGTTTTTATTTTATCTCTTGGCGATGAAGTATTATTTGCAGCTACACGTCTTTTAAATGCATCTGTTCGAGCGCAGCGTGAAGGAAAAAGGAAAAATAAAATTAAAATTCTTTTATTTTTTTTTTTAGAGCTTTTTGTTCTTCGTTTTAATTTTATTTATCGGCCTTTTCCGACTGCTTTCAACTCTGCTATTACAGCGCCATTTTTTTTTTTTAAATTTCTGTCTTTTACAATAAGAAAACAGTTGTAGTTGATTCGGGTTTCATTTGAAGTAGCTAACAAATCAGTTGTTCTACTGTTTGGTTTCTTTCATTGATTCTCATCCATAATTCTTAGAAGTAAAATTAAGTATTACAAAATAATTTAAAAGAAAACTGTTAGGATTTTCAACAGCGGAAACAACTAAAATGAATAGCTTTTGTAAGTCGAAGAGAAAATAAGGATATAATCAAGATGTTGATGTTCTACGCTACTTCATGCAAAAGGCTAGGAAGGAAACCGCCATTAATATTGTAAAAAGCAATAACAATTATTGGACTTGAGAAAACTGTTTGTTTCCGAAAAATTGTTTTAAGATAAAGATTTTATAAATTCCAATTGACAAATAGCAATGGCTGCTCTGTCATTAAATGTCGAAACCGGTAAAATAAAAAATCCAAAAATACAACCAGAAAACAAAATAAGCTGACATAAACAGACGTTATGTTATCTAAAGAACTGTTTAAAGACATCACGTTTTAACAGATAAATTCAAAATATATTTTAGAGTCTAAGACACACAAAGTTGTGGTGGTGAGTATTGATCAGACACACACATACGCGCGCAAAAAATTCCATCATACAAAAAAAAAAAAGATTAAAACCTTTCAGTAAGCTAACACATAATGGCAGAACGTCCGGTAAAGGAGTTGGTTCGCTTTCTTCACCACTAACCGTCCTCGGGGTAAGAGGTGAATTTTGCCATCTGCACAAAACTAGACAGCGAACGCAGATCCACAGACTCTGGTTTCCGGGGTTGGATCGGAGTCCAGCTGGAATCTTTTTCCAGCTGTGCTGGTCAAACTCTCTACCTTCGAGCAGAGGCCCCCCCCAGACGAGGCTATATCGAAGGGCAGAGTCTCGTCTCGGGAAACAGCTATCTGACCCCGTTTTATACGGGAAATTTTTGGCCGAGCCTCCTGGTTCGGATTCCTCCACTTTCAAACTCGGCGTTGTGCCACATCTTACCTTGTGGGGAGGTTGGTAGATATATCCACAGACGTGAACGTATGTATGTAGAAAGCAAACTTCTCAACATGATTGAGCCAAAGTTTGAACTCTTTCATCACCCACTCGACTGAATCATTTCTTCTCAGATTTTTTATTATTTTCAGTGGCTCATTCCTTCTAAAAAAATGTTGTTTTATTCTTGTTGAACATCGTCTCTTCCCGTTTCATCTGGAACGACGAATTACATCCATTTTCTTCGGTAGGAGGTCTTCACACAGACATCTCGCTCATTGGTCAAAAATTAAGAAATTATTAGAACATAGTACACGTCCATACGTACCTACGGGGTATTCGGCAGTTTTCTTTACACAATAAAGAAAATCTCTTGGCAAACTTGGACCTTTGTGCTCACAAAAAACGTATTGTCAAAAGGACGGTTTTTTTTCTCATTGATACCGCTATTATTTTAACTACCTTCACTTCTCGGTTTATTGTTTTAAAAGCGATGATTAAAATTGTAAAAAAGAAACTAAACATATGATTTAGACATTTTTTCTTTGATTTTGAGAATTTACAAGAAAAATATTAAGCACTATTTATTTATTAGATTATTTATTTACAAGAATAATTTTATATTTACAACATTCTAATAACTAATACGATTAGAACTAATGCAATGCAATATTTAGCATTTGCCAATTTATAAAGAAATATTATTTTTCATTCCTATATTTATAAACATTTATAAATATATATATATATATATATATATATATATATATAATATAAAGCTCAAGCACTAATATTCCATGATTATAATTTATTGCATTGGAATCGTAATCACGATCCAATTCATCAGAATGTAATAAATTATAACCATGGAATATTAGTGTTGAAAAGTATTTATATATATATATATATATATATATATATATATATATATATATATATATATATATTAATCATTTCGGAACAAACATTATTAAGGAGCGAGAACATTAGAAGAGTAATCTGGAAAATAGTAGATAGCGACTGACATTGCATTTAAATTTCTGAAGATCAAAGGTGGGTGAAAAACAAGGAGTCGGAAGAGAGTTTCACAAGCGAGAAGTGCGAGAAAAGAAATCGTTAGCATAGAACTTACGGAGAAATCTAGCCAATTCAACTGTAGATCGTTGAGTACTGCGCTTAAATTCATAAAGTCTAGGTACCATAATGAAGTGTTCACTTGAACTGTTAATATGAAAGTACTTACAGAAAAGGCACAAGGAAGTTACATTATATATATATATATATATATATATATATATATATATATATATATATATATATATATATATATATATTGTTGACTATAACAGACAATGAATGTCTATTATGTTTGACCATGAGCTGTTCTAAACTCCGTATGTTTGCTTTAATTTCGCGTAAAATAAAGACTAAAATTGTCCAACATTTGGATTTTTTTTAAGTTGTTCCTTAATCTAAGCTTTCGGCAAACATGAGCCATCTCCAGAGTGGATATGCGGACATTTAAAACAAAGATATTCACCATCAAAGATGATATTCTGTTATTTTGACAGAAGATTGCTATACGACGATAACCGTCCTGGTATAGCAGACGCCGGTCGTAAATTTATGATGTGGTTCTATGACGTCGTACCACGTGAGAGACCAAAATATTAACAGAACCATATGTCTAGATGCAATGTAATGTGTTGTGACTAGTTTGAAATGTAATTTTGTTGAGTGTAGTTTGCTTTGTTTTAATATAGATGGCCACCAATATCATAAGGTTCTTTTTACTGTGTATATGTTTGAGTATAGTTGTGTTTGTGTTATGTCAACACAATGATGCATCAACCGGTGCATCTCTAAAAGTCTTGACGATCAGAGATTGGCAGCTGACCACGCTTCTGATCTAACACTAACTTCTCAATGGGGAAAAATTGGCTGGTTACATTCAATGCATCTGAAAACCAAACTGGTTACATTCCATCACCGCTGATCAGACCTCGGACTACCGCCAGTCAGGATGAACCGATGTCCCCTCGAAGGATTCAAACTCACACCGACCTCAAGTGGAATTCCTATATACGATCCATTGCTAAAGATGCAGGTAAAATGATCGGCTCCATTTACCGCTCCAGTAAGTATCTGACTCCTTATGCTATCCACTAGCTTTATAAGAGCCAGATCAGGCCGAAAATGGGCAGAAGCTGCTCAGACCTCACTTTCCATTTTTTTTTTTTTTTATAGCGTTCAAAAAGGTCTCCCAGTTCTTGTTGGAGAAGAATGATTTTCCATACTCCAACCTCTCTTTCACGGGCGGAGTGTGGCGAATCTCTCACTGCTCTATCGCTATTACCATAGAAACTGCTCGGACGAACTTGCTTCTCCTGATTATAACAGGTCTGACCTTCAAGGCTAGGACCCACCATTTCACTTACATATCACCAAACCAGCCACAATTCGTCAATATTCCATCGGCGAGAAGTAAGTTCCACTCAAACAGCTTCTCACGAACCACTGCCCTATAGAACAGACTCCCAAGAGGATGTTTCCCCGATCACTACCATCTTAACCTGTTGAAATCTAGAGTCAACCGTTAACTTCCTCGCCTATTCATATAAACTACCACTTAACGTAATCCTCAACATCGAATAACTGTACAGGATTAACTTTATTGTAAAAAAAATAGTCGGATTTTAGGAAATGGATTAAACGCCATCTTTTATACACCACGAAGCCAATATTTTTCTTATATGAACACTGAATTAAAAATGTTGAACTCTTCACCGACTTTGTTTTTATGAACAGCTCTGTGCATGCCAAATGAACAGCTCTGTGCATGCCAAAAGTGCATGCCAAAAGCAGTGGTGTTATTTATTGATACTTGAAAATGCATGGCTGTTAAGTGAAATGTACAGGAATCCTTGAATCTTCCTCTCTTTTTTATGCATGCTGGTAGAAATGTATGGAAGCGGTCATAAATATTTACAGTTTCACACTCCAGTATGTATGTATGAATGTAGCTTTCTGCTTAGCTAAGACTATACACTATCTATCTATATATCTATCTATCATTGTCGATGCAATTCAGTCAGTTCACATCTATCTATCCATGTCAGTTTAATCATATCTATCTATCTACGCCTGCTTATATCTATTCAGTTAGTCTAGGAATTATCTATCTCAGTCAGTTCTATCTATCTATCTATCTATCTATCTATCTATCTATCTATCTATCTATGTCATTTATCTATCTATCTACGTCTGCTTTTATTATCCATTTTAGTTAAGAATCATCTATCGTCATCTGCTTCATTATGTATCCATTTTATTCATCTAATCTATCTATCTATCAGTTTATTCATATCTATCTACGTCTGCTTTTATGTATCCATTTTAGTCTAAGAATTATCTATCTATCTATCTATCTATCTATCTATGTCAGTTTATTCATATCTATCTACGTCTGCTTTTATGTATCCATTTTAGTCTAAGAATTATCTATCTATCTATCTATCTATCTATCTATCTATCTATCTATCTATCTATCTATCTATCTATCTATCTATATCTACGTCTGCTTTATGTATCCATATTTATCTAAGTCTATCTTTTATGTATCCATTTTAGTCTGTTTTTATGTATCCAATTATCTATCTATCTATCTATCTATCTATCTATCTATTTATCTATCTATCTATCTATGTCAGTTTATTCATATCTATCTACGTCTGCTTATATGTATCCATTTTAGTCTAAGATCTATCTATCTATCTATCTATCTATCTATCTATCTATCTATCTATCTATCTATCTGTTTCATTTCATCCACTGATCTATGTTTATCACTTTAATCTATTTATTAAGCAAACGAATAATTTCTTTCTTTTTCTTTCTTTCTTTCTTTCTTTCTTTCTTTCTTTCTTTCTTTCTAATCAGTCAACCAATCAATCACTCAATCAGTTTTTCTTTCTCTTCCCGCAGATCCTATTCGCCCTCGTCCCACCGCCATCTTTGCTCGGCGGGTGGCCGACCTTCGTCTTCTCTTTAATCATGATTGGGATAATCACAGCAATCGTCGGCGACTTGGCATCCATTTTCGGTTGCCTTATCAATATGGACAAAAGCATCACTGCCATCACCCTGGTGGCCCTGGGCACCAGTATGCCGGACACTTTCGCCAGTCGTCAAGCAGCCTTGCAAGAGAAATTTGCCGATAGTGCAATTGGTAATGTCAACGGTAGCAACGCAGTGAATGTCTTTCTCGGACTCGGTCTACCTTGGTTAATCGCTTCTATTTATCATTATTACAAAGTGAGTAAACGGTGGCATGTCTTCTTCTTTATTTCACTAACAACAAATCATCCTTCTTTTTAAAAAGAATATATTTTGTTTTTAATTATTTCACTCCAAGCATGGTGATAATTTCACTAAGACTAAAGGGGTTACTAAGAGTTGAAGACAATGAGAAGACTTTAGTCACAAGAAAAGACAATAAAAATACAGAGTTCAGGAAGACAGAAGATGATGATTGACATTGCAATTAAATTAGATGTCAGTGCTTATTGGGAGTGGAAGAGAACGAGATGATTTCAGCGGGAATAAAGGACAATAAAAGGACATGATTCAGGAAGAAAGAAAATGGCGATTGACGTTGCATTTAAAGTTTTGAAGATTGTAGTTGATAGGGAAGCAAGATATCAGAAGGAAGTTCCACAACTAAGAATAGAACAGCGTTACATCTACCTATTTCAACAGTAAAAGTATTAGACTTAGGTGCCTATCTAGTAGTACGCTTAAATTCATGTGGTTTGGACACTTGGGAGGAGAACTCGTTAGAATAACAACCATGAAAATATTTGTATAAAAGACATAGTGAAGCCACTTCATAGCGGTGAGAAAGGTGATTGAAATCGAGATGCCAGTTCAGGACCGATAACATTACAGACCTTTCTTTGGACTTAATAAGAATTCACTGCTCTCATTGTAGGTCAAGAGTAGGTAAACTTTTTTCATGTAAGGACGTATCATTGTTGGCTCTGTGAAAAGTCGGCAGTATCACAATGGCTCGAATTTCACAATGACGATATAAGTAACAATCCTATAAGTGCATGTTATATGTACATTTTATTACTTAGTAGATACATTTGTGATCAAATATAGGAAAAAATTAGTTTCATATTTAATACATTTATTATTAATAATAACATTTACGACACTTAGAAGACTTTTCATAATCTGGATTCAGTTTACCCGTCAGTCAGTTAGTTATGTGCCATGCGTGATACATTACTGACAAGGCAGATTTTTTTTCCCGCAGTAGGTTTCCATTTCTTTCTGAAGTAGACCAGTTGTCATCTAAGTCTATAGAACCCGGTCTGTCCTAGTATTTACCCATATCTAAGGAAAGAAGAAGAGGATTCAAACCTTTCCTAAAGGTATTAGCACGTAAGTGAATGTAATGGATTCGACTGGGATTCGAACTCCACTCTTCGATTCCTCAATCCGAGCCGCTATCCATTACTCCACCGTGCCTCCGAGTTTACCCGTAGATATACTTAAGACAGATTATGTATTCAACTCTATTGCCTGAGATTTTTTTTTTTTATTTTAAAAGGTAATAAATATTAAGTTGGTGCAAAAAAATAATGACGTAGAATGTCGTTTTTGACGTTAAAAAATACGTCAAAAAACGACATTATTACGTCATTATTTTTACACCAACCTAATAAATATACATGGTTTCTGTTAATGCTTACTTTTTATCTGTTTGGAATAGATTACTATTTTGTGTCACGTGTAACCGCAAAATACCAAAGAAATTGAATGGACTTTAAAAAAGAAGTCATTGTTGTGCTCTTGTGGGTGGCATAAAATCATCAGACAGGCTGCATGCGACCCGCCCTACCGTAAATTGACCCGCCCTGCTTTAGGTATTTGTACAGGCTATGTCGCGGTTGCATCGCGAATTTGACAAAAGCCTGTGGAATTGAAAATCCTTTTCATGAGGAACGAACTCACTGTCGATGGATTTTAAGAACAGCACCATTGCTGGATGCCAAACGATACTATATCGTGGCTAATCAAGTAAGTAGTGTTGTAAAATATCAGTTTAGAGTATTTACGCTGTAAAAAAAACTAATATCAAAGAAATTTTATTCATACGAATCGTTCATCCAATACAAGGCTCAAAAGCCTCTCACGGCAGAAGATTATTGAATGTGGTTGTTGTAAAGAAAGTAAGAAGTGCATATTATGTGAATATGTAGGATAAATAATGGCTGGCTCTAGACTTGAAAATGTTAAATTGTAGTGGTCAGGAAAGCATCCTTTCGGGAGTCTGACCTACAAAGTGAGAGTTCTGGGAAGAAAGTTAGCATTTGAGTTGATATAATTTTCATGTCAGCGAAATACATGATAAAACTAGCATTTATAACTGGAAATTTATTATTGAAGTGTCTCTTGTATAGAATATATTTCGCCTGGTTATTGTTGATGTCTTAGTGGAACTTCTCCCTTCCAAAAGGAATACGAAGACAATCGAATGAGTTGATGCTGTGTGCGTGGCATAACGGACCCAAGCTGTGGAGGTTTGAACTTGTGGAACTAAGGAATGTAGTTTATCTGACTATTTGCCTTGGAAATAGAAATAGAGCTACGAGAGATTAGCACCGTTTCTTCTGTGGGAAAGAGGTTGCACTATTAAGGAAAGAGAACAATAAAATAAGAGGTTTTAAAAGACAGAAAATAACGATTGACGTTGCATTTAAATTCTGAATATTGAAGTAAACTGGAAAGAAAGAAACCGGAAGTCCTACAAGGGAGGAAGGAGAGAGAAGAAACTGTTAGCATAGAACTTACGGTTACATCTGGTCATTTCAATTGTAAGATGATGAGAGCTTGCCACCAATCTAGTACTGTGTTTAAATTCATAAAGTCTAAATACCATAGAGGAAAGCCCATCAGAACAATTACTATGAAAAAATATATATATATATATATATATATATATATATATATATATATATATATATATATATATATATATATATATATATATATATATATATATAGAGAGAGAGAGAGAGAGAGAGAATAGACACAGAGAAGCTATGTTACGACAGTGGTGATCCTCACCCTCTGTATCAGTGATAGAGAGGTGAGAATCAATAACATTGCAGATTCTTCTTTGGATTTTATCAAGAATCTTTAAATATATAGCAGGAGCACTAGACCAGATGTGGCAGCAATATTCAAAACAAGGACGAATGGTAGATTTATAAATATGTAAAGATAGATCCTATTGAGAAAAATTGTCTAGCACAACAAAATAAACCAACTTTTCCCACAACAGACTTAGCAATTGATTCAATATAATCTTTTCCAATTCATGTCAAATGAAAACTTTATAAAAACTTTCGCCTCATTATTTTCTTTGCTGTTGGTTTTGTTGTTGTTCGTTCTTTCTTTCTTTTTTTCTTTCTCTTTCTTTCTTTCTTTCTTTTTTTGTTCTCCTCTTTGTAAAATTACAATCTCTTTCTATTTTGTCTTCTTTTTTAAATCTCTCTCTCTATCTATCTATCTATATCATATCTATATATATATATATATATATATATATATATATATATATATATATATATCATTTTGTTCTTCTCTTTTTCAAATCGTCACTCTCTTTTCTGTTCTTTTTTAAAAGGTCAATGTGTCTGTCTTTTATTCTTCTCTTTCTTAAAACATCAATTTCTTTCTCCCTCCCTCTACCTCTCTTTATATTCTTCTCTGTTTTAAAATTTCAATCACACTCTCTGACTTTTCTTCAATCGATTTTACCCCTTTTAATCCTATTTGCTTTTTCGTCACACACTTTCTTTCTTTACTTTGAGTCTCAATTCTTCTTTTTTTTTCTATTTCTTCTCTTTTTATTTATCTCTTTCACACTTTTCCTACTTTGCTTCTCACTTCTTTTTCTTCTCTTTTTTTTATCAACTTCTCCCTTTCTCTACTTCAGTACTCACTTCCATTTTAATTTTTCTTTTCTTTTTTACCAGCTACTCTATTCCTATATATTTTTTATCACCTTCTCTCTTTCTCTATATCGATTATCACTCCCTCTTTCTTTTCTCTTCTCTTTTCATCTACTTCCCTCTTTCTTTACTTTCATTCTTACTTCCTCTTCTTTTTTTTCTCTTTTATATCTTCTACCTTTCTCGCCTTCGGTTTTCACTTCTACTTTCTTTTTTTTTTCTCTTTTTATCTCTTTCTTTCTCTACTTCAGTTCTCACTCCCTCTTTCTTTTCTCTTCTCATTTTTATCTCCCCCTCTCTTTCTCTACTTTGATTCTCACTTTTTTCTTCTCTTTCTTTTCCTCCGATTCTCACTTCCACTTTGTTTTTTCCTTTTCTTTTTATCACCTTCTCTCTTTCTCTATTTCGATTCTTACACTCTCTTTCTTTTTCTTTTCTTTTTTTATCACCTTCTCTATTTTGATTCTCACTTCTTTTTCTTTTTAACACCTTCTCTCTTTGTCTACTTCGATTCTCGCTTCCACTTTCTTTTTTCTTCTCTTTTTATTTCGTCTCTCCTTCTCTACTTATCCCCGACCTTCCTTTAAATTTCTACCCCTCTCTCTCTCTCTCTTTCTCTCTCTCTCTCTCTCTCTCTCTCCATATTTTCTCCAGTTTTTATATTTCTTCCTTTTTGCTTTCTTCTAATTTCAGGGCACCGAGTTCAGTTTCGAAGGCAAAACTGAATCGCTCGGTTTCACCGTCGTCTTGTACAGTATCTTCTCAGCATTTGTTATGATCATCTTGGTAATCCGTCGTTCAAGTTCCGTTTGCGGAAAGGGCGAGCTTGGTGGCCCACTTATATCTCGTTATGTATCGGCCGCATTCATCTTCAGCCTATGGCTTTTCTACCTACTACTATCAATTCTACAAGTGGTTGGAATCCTTTCCGTCAGTATCTAAGGACAAAGTGTCAAATGCTCGCGTACATATTTACACGCACTCAGGGACACGAAAAAGAAATACAAACACATAGACGTGACCAAGTTCATTTCTATGCACTTGTTTACCTTAGCTTAGTCTAAAAGAAAGAAAAAAAAATCACACATGTATGGTTCGTGTCTGTCACACAATTATCGTAAGCACACTTAAACCATAAATTAAAGATTCTTTATTTTTAGACAAAGTCAGTATTCTATCCGACTATGGTACAGAAACACATTTTGGAAGCACTTAAGGTTTAACAAAATTACCAATGATCAAAAAGGAAATTGGAATCCTAGGCATTATTCTACAAATGGTACACGAGACGTTTACCACAATTGAGTCAAGATCATATTCATACTGAGAGACGAATTCGATAGAATAAGTTACGCTAACCCCTGCACTACAAGTATTCTCTCAATTTATGTTAACCCTTGCTCTACAAGTATTCTTTCAATTTAGGCTAACCCATGCACTACAAGTATTCTTCCAATTTAGGCTAACCCCTGCACTACAAGTATTCTCTCAATCTATGTTAACCCTTGCTCTACAAGTATTCTTACGATTTAGGCTAACCCCTGCACTACAAGTATTCTTACGATTTAGGCTAACCCCTGCACTACAAGTATACAAATAAATTTAAAATAAACCTTTCTCTACAACTATTCTTCTAAATTAAGCTAACACATGATCTACAAGTTTTCTAATAATTTAGGCGAACTCTTGTCCTACAGTTATTCTCTCAATTTAGGCTAACCATTGCTTTACAAGTATTCTTCCAATTTAGGCTAACCCTTGCTCTACAAGTATTCTCTCAATTTATGTTAACCTTTGCTCTACAAGTATTCTTCCAATTTAGGCTACTCCTTGCTCTACAAGTATTCTTTCAATTTAGGCTACTCCTTGCTCTACAAGTATTCTTTCAATTTAGGTTAACTCTTGCTCTACAAGTATTCTTTCAATTTAGGTTAACTCTTGCTCTTCAAGTATTCTTCCAATTTAGGCTACTCCTTGCTCTACAAGTATTCTTTCAATTTAGGCTAACCCTTGCTCTACAAAATTCTTCCAATTTAAGTTAACCCTTGCTCTACAAGTATTCTTCAAATTTAGGCTAACCCTTGTTCTACAAGTATTCTTCAAATTTAGGCTAACCCTTGTTCTACAAGTATTCTTTCAATTCTGGCTAACCTTTGCTCTCAATGTATTCTTTCAATTTAGGTTAACCCTTGCTTTACAAGTATTCTAATAATTTAGATTTTCTCCTAATTTAGGATAACTCTTCTATTCTGATAATTTCAACGAATGACTTCTCAGAATTTATTCTAATAATTAAAGTTAATTCTTACACTACAAATATTTTAACAAATTAGGCTCCCCATTGTTGTACAATATTCAAATAATTTATGTTAAAACTTGCCCCACAAGTACTGCAACATTTTAACGTTTTTTCAACGTGTATTCTAATAATTTGCAATTTCTTCTAATTTAGGATATCCTTTACACTACAAGTATTTATCTAATTAACGCTAACCGTTTCTCTAGAAATATTCTAATAGTTTAGAATTACTCCTGATTTAGGCCAATTTTTGCTCTACCTGTATTCCTGATAATTTCAGTTAAACTTTGTTCTACAAGTTTTGTAATTAATTTACACTAAGCCTTCCTCTACGACTCTTCTAATAATTTAGTTTAACCAATGATCGACGATTTTTCTAATAAATGAGACTAACACTTGCTCTACAAGTATTCTCATAATTTCAGGTATTCCTTTTTCGACAAGTATTCTAGTGACTAATTATTTTTCTATTCGTAATTAATTTAATCCCTTGCCATTTCGTTGGTACTAATTAGTTCATTTCAGCTAATGTCGCAAACAACAATTGACAAAATCTTGATTACCAATGTCGATTTCCTCTGTCTCGAATATTTTTTGTTTTTAACTTTTTTGTCTTTAACCCGGTGCCAATCATCTTGGCTATTTTGCCTCGAAAATTCGACATTTAAATTCCACAAGAGAGTATTTAAAATATTACACAAATGCAAAAGTTCCCAGCACTCTTTTTATGAAAACTAGAGAATGAATACACAGCTGAAAACCGATTTTTCGCTGGAAACTTTTGCTAACGCTTAATAAATGCGGTCAAAAAAATCAAGTAAGGGTTCTGCGTTTTGTCGGACATGAATTTTTTCTTTTTTGATGGTTGATGCTATGGGATTATCTGCATGTGATAATGGTTACTTCAGAGATAAAGGAGACAACAAGGAAGTGCTCATCTCCCCTCCGTTATAGGCAAAAGTATGAGGTACAATAATACCAGTAGCAATGAGGTGACTCAGACCTGACTGCAATGTGTGTGCGTGTCTGTGTGTGTGTTGTTAAAGATTTGCTATATTTATGGGAGAAGAATGGTCCCTCACTATCCGAGATAGGCAGTTTGACATAGAAATCCAAATTGCATGGCGCTTAGCAGTTTCATGCCATAAGCAATGATCTTTTAAGTGGTGAAACTGACAGTCATGATGCAGTGTTGATTTCTATGCCAACGTTATATCTATCTATCTATCTATCTATCTATCTATCTATCTATCTATCTATCTATCTCACTTTGCTCATATCTGTCTATCTAGCTAGCTATCTGCACACGCACGCGCGCGCGCACACACACACACATATATAGGGAGAAAAAGAGACAAAAGAACTATGATTGTGTTTGAAGAACAAGATATAAGCAAATGCATAAGTAAGTGGAAATAGGAAACGTTTACAAATTTAGCATGTTTCGCTTTTATTTAAGCTTCATCAGAAAATGAAATATGGAAAGGGAAAGAAAAACGCACACGTGAGGATCGAATTCAGCAATCAGCAGTCACAGTGAACTAGACAAACCTTAAACACTACCCTAGGCAACCCCATTCTAATATGTGTGTGTGTGTGTGTGTGTGTGTGTGTGTGTGTGTGTGTGTGTGTGTGTGTGTGTGTGTGTAAATAGGATATTGAATCCAGACAAAATTTGATAAATTTGACAAACTGGAAAATAGTTTTATTGACTTTATTACGTATTTCGACATCGATAGATTGGCTTCCTCGGAACAGAACGAAAAAAATATATATGTGCTTGCTTTAATATTGAAGTGTTAATACTTTTCCCGCTAAGCTGGCGTCCCTCGGTCGAGATGAACGAACAAAATTGTGTGGCTTTTGCATAAAAGCCGTTATTTTAATTCATTCTGTTTTCTTCTCTTTTCAGTTCTCTTGTTTTATCGAAATTTTGTTTTTATTTTCTTCCGGGCTTTTCTGCATTACATTTAAGGTAAATAAATTCCCTACCCAGTTTTTCAGAATTGATTGAAAGTAAAAGATTCATATATTTTTGGTCCGGCTTTGTGTTTTCCATGTCAACAATATGTTTATAAATAGGGGAGGAGTGCTCAGCATCGGAGCCTGAGCGTTTATATAGTCAGTGTGGACAAAGGTATCAACACTGCATAGTGACTGTCAGTTTCACGATTCAATCAGCTCTATAGAATAAGATATCCAAATCTAGTCTGAAGATTGCATATATATATATATATATATATATATATATATATATATATATATATGTGTGTGTGTGTGTGTGTGTGTGTGTGTGTATACAACTCCGTCCTTAAGTTTACATACGAACTTAATAATAGCAACAAAATTCCCTTCCTCGATACACTGATAAACACTAATAACAATAAGTTCACTATTTCCCCATATAAAAAAAAAACTACCAGCAGAAATTCATGTACCTTTAACTATAAGAGCGAATGTTTAAATAACTACAAAATAGCAATTATAAAAAACCTATTAATCCGTGCAAAAATGAATTCATTCACAAAACAGATTTCGTACAGCGAACTAAAGAAATATAAAACAAACATTCATCAATAACTTCACTATATTGTTGATGAACAAATAAGATGTTCCATCAGAGATCTTCATACAAAATAAATAGAACATAACACTTCTCCAACTAACCACAAACATATCAACCTTTTATATTGTAATCAAATGCATGCTGACTATAAGCAAGATGAAAATATCCTAAAAAAATTAATAAAATCTAATGCATCCACCACAGATCCCAGCAAAAAAATAAAATTAATTATATACTACACTAAATCTAGTATCTCCAATAAAATCATTCGTAATGACTCGTCCACACCCACTAGCATATTGCAGAAAACCAACATTCTCTATAATTTTAAATGTCCTTTGGGAGATTGCATCTACAACGGTAAAAATAATATTCATTTTGTACACACGACAACAACACTCACACGCCGGCTATGTCTCCACTTGAATAACACGTCCACATTTCTAAACATTTAGAACACATTCGGAATTCAGGTAAATCCTCGTTAAAAACACCTCCATACTCTTTCACGAAAAGAATAGACACAAGCTAAAAATCCTTGAAGCTATTTATATTAAAAACATTGTAACCAAACCTTAATAAAATGAGAAACCACAAATCATAGTATTTATACGCACACTCTGGATTATCTAAGAGGTGTCGCGGAATCCTGTGCCGACTGCGTCAGACGCGTATTACGAGTACTAATACCCAGTCTGATTATTATTATTATTATTATTATT